GCGGGCGGCGGGGGTCTAGGTGGCGATGTGGCGTGCGCGCGTGTCGCGGGGGGGAAAGATGCGGCAGCGGTGGAGACGGTGCGGGTTTCAGCGTCGGGGGAACGAAAGGTGGAGCCTCGGTCAGAGGCGGAGGTCCCGCGGAGGAGCTCGGCGCGTTTGGCGGCGCGAGCTGCGCCCGGCCCCGTCGCGGTCGAGGAGGGGGCTGCCGCGGGCGAGGGCGCGTATATACGGGGGGGGGTGCTGGTGCGCCCGAGGCGCGCGGAGCCGTCTGGACCGTCGAGTGGCGGCGGCGCCGCGCGAGTGGTGACAGGTTTCGGCGCGGGAAGGAGCGAGAACTTGGCTGCGTTCCAGCGCAGCCGCGATTTGGGGGATGCGACGCGCGCGTCGCAGCGGGTCTCGGAGGGGGCCCGAGGGAGGTGCGTGGATATGCAGGGGAATGAGCTGGATCGTTCTGCGGGGTCCGCCTGGCATGCGGGTCGATAGGGCGGGGGGTGCGGTGGGAGCTGGGTGTTGAGGGGGGAAGAGTGGGGAAGCAAGACGGGGGGGGAGAGCGGGTAAATCAGGGCAAGGCTGTGCTGCGAGGTTCGGCTCCTCCCCCCTCAAGTCTTTTTTCTCCGCTGGCGCTCCGTGAGGGCGAAGTGGCTGGAGCGGAGGGAGGGCTGGCCCCGTAGTGGGGCGGTGCCTCCCCCCTCCGGAGCGCCAGCGAGGAGGGGGGTGCGCGTGGATGAAGGGCTGGAACTCTTTGTGGCGGTGGCGCCGATCAAGTGTTGGATGGTTCCGAAGGGATCGATGATTGGAGGGGCCTGGGGAGGGTCTCGGGTATGCCGGGAAATGAGTTGAATCCGTCGGCGTGGTTGTCGGAGTTCGCGAGGGCGGAGTGGTTGGAGTGGAGGGGCGGCCGGCCCCGAAATGGTGCGGCGCCTTCCCCCTCCGGAGCGCCGGAAGGGGGTGTGGTGGGTGGGGGGGGGCTCTGTGTGCCTGTCTGTGTGTCTGTGTGTCTATGTCTCTATGTGTCTATGTGTCTGTGTGTCTGTGTGTCTGTGTGTCTGTGTTTTTGCGTCTGTGTGTCTGCGTGTCAGTGTGTCAGTGTGTCTGTGTATCTGTTTGTGTGTGTGTGTGTGTGTGTGTCTGTGTGTCTGTCTGTCTGGGTGTTTGTGTGTCTGTGTACCTGTGTGTCTATGGTCAGGAGGAAAAAAGCACAGACGCAATTAATCGTCGCTTCGATAGAATATATGGGAAAATATGGCGAGTGGGATGGAAGACAAAAACACAGAAAATATGGGGACATATGGGGATTTGTTCAATTTGTGTGTATTCATTTGTGTGTCCTGGGGCCCCTTCATTTTTGCCTGCGTGTCTGTGTGTCCTTGTGTCTGCGTGTCTGTGTGTTGTTGTGTCTGCGTGTCTGCGTGTCTGTGTGTCCGCGTGTCTGTGTGTTCGTGTGTCTTGTGTGTCTGTGTGTCTGTGTGTCTGTGACTCTGGTGCTCTGTGTGTCTGTGTGCTTGAGTGTCTGTGTCTCTGTGTGTCTGTGTATTTGTGTGTCTGTATGTCTGCGTGTCTGCGTGTCTGTGTGGCTTCGTGTCTGTGTGTCTGTGTGTCCGTGTGTCTGTGTGTCTGTGTGTCTGTGTGTCTGTGTGTCTGTTTGTGTGCGTGTCTGTGTGTCTGTGTGTCTGTGTGTCTGTGTGTCTGTGTGTCTGTGTGTCTGTGTGTCTGTGTGTCTGTGTGTCTGTGACTTGTGACGTGCTTGTGCGTGTGGGGTGTATTGTGTCTGTATAGGCGTGTGTCTGTCTTTTCTGTTCTGTGTGTTGTCTGTGTGTCCGTGTGTCGTGTGTTCCGTGTGTCTGTGTGTCTATGTGTCTGTCCTGTCTTCTGTATGTTGTCTGTCTGTGTGTTCTGTCTGTGTTCTGGTGGCAAGTGGTCTGTGTGTCTGTGTTCTGTGTGTCTGTGTGCCTGTTGTGTCTGCTTTCTGTCTTTCTTTGTGTACTGTGAGTCTGTGCTGCTGGTGTGTCTGTTGCGTTGTTTGTGTCTGTGTGTCAGTGTGCAGTGTGTCTGTGTGCTGCGTGCTCTGTGTATCTTATGCTTTGCTCGTTGTGTTTCTGTGTGTCAGTGTGTCAGTGTGTCTGTGTCTCTGTGTGTCTGTGTGTCTGTGTGTCTGTGTGTCTGTGCGTCTGTGTGTCTGGGTGTCTGGGTGACCGTGTGTCTGTGTGTCTGTGTGTCTGTGTGTCTGTGTGTCTGTGTGTCTGTGTGTATGTGTGTTTATTTTTTTTTGCGTCCGTGTGTCTGTGTGTCAGTGTGGCAGTGTGTCCGTGTAACTTTTTGTCTGCGTGTCTGTGTGTCTGTCTGTCTGTGTGTCTGTGTGCCTGTGTGCTTTTGTGCCTGCGTGTCTGTGTGTCCCTTTGTCTGCGTGTCTGTGTGTTGGTGTTTCTGCGTGTCTGCGTGTGCTTGTGTGTCTGTGTGTCTGTGTGTCTGGGTGTCTGTGTGTCTGAGTGTCTGTGTGTCTGTGTGTCTGGTGCTGTGTGTGTCGGTGTGCTTGAGTGTCTGTGTGTCCGTGTGTCTGTGTATTTGTGTGTCTGTATGTTTGTGTGTCGGTGTGTCTGCGTGTCTGCGTGTCTTTTTGTCTGTGTGTCTGTGTGTCTGTGTGTCTGTGTGTCCGTGTGTGTGTGTGTCTGTGTGTCTGTGTGTCAATGTGTCTGTCTCTCTGTCTTCCTGTTTGTCTGTGTATCTGTTTGTCTGTGTGTCTGTGTGCCTGAGTGTCCGTGTGTCTGTGTGTCTGTGTGTCTGTGGGTCTGTGTGTGTCTGTGTGTCTGTGTGTCTGTTTGTCTGTGTGTCCCTGTGCCTCTGTGTCAGTCTTCCTGTCATTCTTTGTGTCCGTGTGTCTGTGCGTTTGTGTATCTGTGTGTCTGGTTGCTTGTGTGTCTGTGGGTCCGTGTGTCAGTGTGTCTGTGTGTCTGTGTTTCTGTGTGCCAGTGTGTCAATTTGTCAGTGTGTCAGTGTGTCTGTGTGTCTGTGTGTCTATGTGTCTGTGTGTCTGTGTGTCTGGGTGTCAGTCTGGCAGTGTGTCCGTGTGTCTGTGTGCCTGTGTGTCTGTGTATCTGTGTGTCTGGTTGTCTGTGTGTCTGGGTGTCTGTGTGGTTGTGTGTCAGTGTGTCTGTGTGTGTGTGTCCGTGTGTCTGTGTGTCTGCATGTCCGTGTGTCCGTGTGTCCGTGTGTCTGTCTGTCTGTGTGTCTGTGTGTCTGTGTGTCTGTGTGTCTGTGTGTCTGTGTGTCTGTGTGTTTCTGTTTTGGTGTGTCTGTGTGTCTGTGTGTTGGTGTCTGTGTGTCCGTGTGTCAGTGTGTCTGTGTGTCTGTGTGTCTGTGTGTCTGTGTGTCTGTGTGTCTGTGTGTCTGTGTGTCCGTGTGTCTGTGTCTGTGTGTGTGTCTGTCTGTCTGTGTGTCGGTGTGTCTGTGTGTCTGTGTGTCTGTGTCTGTGTGTCTGTATGTCCGTGTGTCTTTTGTGCCCGTGTGTCCGTGTGTCCGTATCTGTGTGTCTGTATGTCCGTGTGCTTGTGTGTCTGTGTGGCTGTGGGTCTCAGTGTGTGCGTGTCTGGGTGTCTGTGTGTCTGTGTGACTGGTTGTCTGTGTCTCTGTGTATCCTTGTGTCTGCGCGTCTTTGTGTCTGTGTGTCTGCGTTTCTATATGTCAGTATGTCTGTGTGTCTGTCTGTCTGTGGATCTGTCTGTGTGTCTGTCTTTCTGTGCGTGTGTGTGTGGGTGTCTGTCTGTGTGTCTGTGCGCGTGTATTTGCGTGTGTGTGTGTTCGCGTGTGTGTGTGTGTGTGTCAGTGTGTGTGTGTGTGTGCGCGTGGCGCTGGCATCCCCGCGCTGCCCCCCCCCCTTTCCCGGGCGCTCCGCGAGGGCGGAGTGGTTGGAGTGGAGGGAGGGCCCGCCATAAATTGGGGCGGTGCCTCCCCCCTCCGGAGCGTCTGCGTGTCTGTGTTTCTGCGTGTCTGTTTGTCTGTGTGTCTTTGTGTCGATGTTTCTATGTGTCCGTGTGTCTGTATGTCTGTCTGTCTGTGTGTCTGTGTGTCTGTGTGCATGTGTGTCTGTGTCTGTGTGTCTGTGTGTCTGTGTGTTCCTGTGTCTTTTGTTTCTGTATGGCCGTCTGTGTCTGGTGTCTGTGCTTCTGTGCGTGTTTGTCTGTGTGTCCGTGCGTCCGTGTGTCTGTGTGTCTGTGTGTCGGCGTGTCTTTGTGCCCTGTGTTTCTGTGTGTCAGTGTGTCAGTGTGTCTGTGTCTCTGTGTGTCTGAGTGTCTGTGTGTCTGTGTGTCTATTTATCTGTGTGTCTGTGTGTGTGTCTGTCTGTCTGTGTGTCTTCAGTGTGACAGTGTGTCTGTGTGTCTGTGTGTCTGTATTTTTTTTGGGCGTCTGTGTGTCAGTGTGTCAGTGTGTTTGTGTATCTGTTTGTCTGTGTGTCTGTGTGTCTGTCTGTCTGTGTGTCTGTGTGCCTGTGTGCCTTTGTGCCTGCGTGTCTGTGTGTCCTTGTGTCTGCGTGTCTGTGTGTTGGTGTTTTTGCGTGTCTGCGTGTGACTGCGTCTCTGTGCGTCTGTGTGCCTGTGTGTCTATGTGTCTGAGTGTCTGCGTGTCTGTGTCTGGTGCTGCGTGTGTCAGTGTGCTTGAATGTCTGTGTGTTTGTGTGTCTGTGTATTTGTGTGTCTGTATCTCTGTGTGTCTGTGTGTCTGCGTGTCTGTGTTTCTGTGTGTCTGTGTGTCTGTGTGTCTGTGTGTCTGTGTGTCTGTGCTTCCGTGTGTTTGTGTGTCTGTGTGTCTCTGTGTCTGGGTGTCTGTGTGCTTGTGTGTTCTGTCTTTCTGTCTTTCTGTGTGTCTGT